GAGAGAGAGAGAGAGAGAGAGAGAGAGATGTTAAACTTCCTAAGTCCAGGTATCTCTAAAAGGGCTTATAAAAAATAAAGTTCAAGTCTAATTTTATCACAACTAAACACAGAACATGATTGCATCACAATAAGTATTTTTTCTCTCCAACTTTATTTCTAAAACTTTTTCATTTTAGTTGACCAGAGTTCCCTTTTGTCACTTAGCCTGCTCATTGAAGACACCCATTTCCAAAGCCTCAGGTGGAATTTCATTAGCTAGAACTCAACCAGGAAGAGCACGACCTAAAGATTTGATTAAAAATATAGGAAACAGATTTTACAAATGGAATACGGGACATATAACATTCTGCTTCAAGGCAGATGATCCCATTGCCTCCTGTACCTCATCCGAATTACATCCCATGTCTTAAAGCCAAGTTTAAAAGCCAGGTCTGAGAATCTCCTTATTTTACCTCTCTTCACCTGGGGACTGCTGTCTCATTGTAGCATTCAGTCTGCACTTTGCCATTATGCACCTGACAGATGGCTTCATAAAATGTTCTCTTATCTCACTGTGTGTGGTCTCTCCAAGTGGCTTATGTCTCCTGGGGGTCAGGTACTATGTCATTATTTCTTTGGTAACCCCATCAGATAACGTGGAGTGCTTATGACCTCTCATTTAATACATACAGAAGATATATACTTGGGTAGGTAACTTTCCTGAATTCTCACAGTAAGAGTTAATGGACGTTATTATATTTTAACTACTGCGAGGCAGGGTAATTTCAAGTAAATAGCTCTGATTGAAATGGCTAAAGAAGGGAACTGGACTTCTTAGTCTACTGAAGGAGGGCTCTTTTGTTTGAAAAATTCCTTTCAATGAAAGAAAAAGATGACTGATATAATTCATTTAATTTTTTTAACTAAACTCTTTGCCTATATACTCTTCAGTTTAGTGCCTGTGAAATCAGTTATTTATCAAAGTGAAGTGGGAATGAGTGGTTTTCCATGCAGAGTTAGTGGTTTTGAAAACCAGTGTTGATGAGCCAGAAAATACAATACTGATATTGGTATATTTTCCAGATTGGACCCCAAATCCAGGAATTCAAGGAAAAGAGATTTTTGATATAAAAGGTCTTAATGTATTTCTAGTCCACATTAGATCCACTATTTGCTGGAAAAATACGTATCTTCTCAAAAATACATGCATATGACTGCTCTTTTCTTGATCTTCTGGGAATAACCATTTTAGAGACATTAAAAAACTTCTTACTAAGGACCCCCATGCACTCTTCCTAAAATAGTAATAATAGATTCTGTTATTGCTACATAATTTCTTCTTAGTGTTTCCTCCTTCTCTAGACCGGGATGCTTGTTTCTTATTTTGTTGGGGGCTGTCTGGATTTCAACTTCTGCTGTAAAACCTGGAGCATATCTAAAGTACTCTTCAACCCTGCCATAGTCTCATTTACTAAGTACTTAGAGGTATATAGTTTTGTTTGGCATCCTAACTTCTGTTTTCCAAGGCCCATGAAGAGGAAGCAGTTTTAATTTTTTTTTTTCTGAAATTATATCCCTGCTTCTGCTTATAGGAAATAATTGAGGTAGGACTTCTTTTTTAAAACATAGCTGGCTGAGTTGCTGCAATTGAAAGGAACATGAGAAGTACAAATATGCTTTCAAATATATGTAAGGAAAACAGAAGTTTCTTAAATCAGGTTGTATTTATTAAAAACAGAATACAAAATATCTTGGAATTCAGAGATTACCTATTGTAATGTCCCCTAACAGGTTAGTTCTAAAAAAAAGTTAATCATTTCAAGGCAGATAACAAAAAAATTTCAAGTAAGAATAATACATCTGGTTGCAGACTGAGTTTATTCAAACTCTGAGGCCTCAGTATGTTCCTCCATGTTTTCAACCATTAATGGCCCAAACCGATTGCTCCTCTCATACCAGCATCTGTTGTCTGAGAGGGTTCCCACACTGTTCTTTGACCGGCTGGCACCTTGTTTCTTTCGCCTTTTCTTTTTAGAATTTGATTTACCCTTTGGTAGGAATAATTCAGCAGGGGCATATGACCTTGTGGCATTGAATAGGTGTTCATAAAGTTGCATGGCCTCAGGACACTTGCTCAGAAGACTTTCTACAGAGGTTGATGTTAGCAGTTGTCGGCACAGTCCATGCACCAGGCTTCCACTATACAATCTGTTCAACAGAGGAGAGAGAGAAGGGTGTTAAAGCAGAGGTTCAGTCACTGGGACACCATCATTAACATGGCTTCAACGAATGCATCTAAAAACACTGAGAGCTCTTCTACAAAATCATTAAAATTACTTAAGAATAATCTGTTACTTGAAGGAAGGAACTGAGTTGTTATTAAAAATATTATGTCTTGGCTCATGATATTTTTAACATCACATTCAATGATGGATGCTTGCTGGTTTACAACTAGACCAAAGTTGAGCAGGCCTCTTAACACTTCAAAAAAAAGGAATTAAAAAATGCCTTTGATAAACCAAACAGATAGTCTGTTGAAATAAGAGAAAATTTAATGGCATCATTTGCAAGGTCATTATTCACCTTGGACTAAAAACCTACTTCATAAATATAAGATGGGATTAACTGGAAGCCACAATTTTAATATGTAACTTATTGCCAGTGTTGATCAACTGGTGCCTTAACAACTGATGTAGAACCATCATTGAGTCAGTGTAAAATCATCATTTAAAAAACCTTAGTAGTGCTGAGATGCAAGAACAGTCCTCTACTGAAATCACAAAGAGAACTGTTTGGTCTTGTTTATCTGGTTTTTTTGTTTTGTTGTGTTTTTTTTAAATGGATTACTGGTAACTGAAGAGGATCCAATCAAGAATGACCTAAATTATTAAAGGCCAGACATAAAGTATCCATAGGTCTAAGATTAAAATTACTTAAGAATAATCTGTTACTTGAAGGAAGGAACTGAGTTGTTATTAAAAATATTATGTCTTGGCTCATGATATTTTTAACATCACATTCAATGATGGATGCTTGCTGGTTTACAACTAGACCAAAGTTGAGCAGGCCTCTTAACACTTCAAAAAAAAAAAAAGGAATTAAAAATGCCTTTGATAAACCAAACAGGTAGTCTGTTGAAATAAGAGAAAATTTAATGGCATCATTTGCAAGGTCATTGTTCACCTTGGACTAAAAACCTTCATAAATATAAGATGGGATTAACTGGAAGCCACAATTTTAATATGTAACTTATTGCCAGTGTTGATCAACTGGTGCCTTAACAACTGATGTAGAACCATCATTGAGTCAGTGTAAAATCATCATTTAAAAAACCTTAGTAGTGCTGAGATGCAAGAACAGTCCTCTACTGAAATCACAAAGAGAACTGTTTGGTCTTGTTTATCCTGTTTTGTTTTTTTGTGTTTTTTTTTCCAAATGGATTACTGGTAACTGGAGAGGATCCAGTCAAGAATGACCTAAATTATTAAAGGCCAGACATAAAGTATCCATAGGTCTAAGGCCAATTAATCTTACTTGGTAAAGGGTTCTAGGGTTAGCTTGCATATGAGGCCCAGAAACATATTAACAACACTACTCACTGCTAGGAAGCTTTTCACTGTGAAACATTTTTTTTTTAAGTTTTTGTTTTGTTTTTTGCTTTTTTAAAAAATATATTTTATTGATTTTTTACAGAGAGGAAGGGAGAGTGATAGAAAGCCAGAAACATCGATCAGCTGCCTCCTGCACACCCCCTACTGGGGATGTGCCCGCAACCAAGGTACATGCCCTTGACCGGAATCGAACCTGGGACCTTTCAGTCCGCAGGCCGACGCTCTATCCACTGAGCCAAACCAGTTACGGCTCACTGTGAAACATTTAAAGTCACACCAGTATATTTTGCATGCCTCTATCATTCATTTAGTCAATAAATATTTGCACATTAAAAAACTATGGGGACAACAACAGTACATAAAATAGACAAGTACCTGCCCTCATAGAGTTTACATTCAAGTGGAAAGAAACAAAGTTTATACACAATCTCAACTCCATTTTTTTCTAACCATCTCCCTTTTATCTTCTTCAATCCTTCTAGTAAGTACCTCCTGGATGGACAGTCACCAGGATGTCTAATCCATTCGTCCTACCCCCTTTTCACTGGCCCACACACTGCTATCGTTTCTTTCTCACCCAGCGTAAACTCCATATCAGACATTATACTCACTTCCTGGCATACAGGCTGCCTCTCCCTTCACACTTGCTTGGCAAAGAAAAGCCTGAGATAAAGTCCATTTAAGCATCTAATAGTAATCTCACTAGACTGAAACCTCCAAGACAGTAGATATTTTTTTTAATGTTTTGTTCATTATAACAAAGACCAGAGTAGGCATTTAATGAATATTTGAATGAACGAATGAACAATACGCCAACTGGTAAGAAATGCAATTATGGAATACAAGAGTAATAGGAATAGAGTGACTGGAAGTAGATAGTAATATTTCAGTAGGATGGTCAGAAAAAGTTTTTATAAAGTGACGTTTGAAGAAACTTAAATGAAGGAATAAATTACATCCAACCAACAACTGCCTCTTTTTATTACTTTTACTTTGGAACTAATTTTCTTTGGGAATATAGAAATAATTTAATATTTTTCCTGTTTCCAGCTCTTTAGCTGTCATAGTGTTCCAAGACCAATTACCCTAAGATTAATTTTTAAACATAACTTTTTTGCTTTAAATGTAAATAAAGTATTTGCTTCTGTGTGCAGCCATCTGAACTAGTTTCCCTTGGTGCTCACCGAGTTAGGTCTGGCTCTGGGAGAGGCGTGAACAGCAGCTGATTAAGATACATCCCCATCAGCAGACAGCTCTGCCACTGACAGAAGATGTGAGCTGTGTCTAAATCCAGTCTCGGGCCCGGCCGCGTCTGCTCCTTCACTCTTTGGAACTCTTCATACAACATCTTAGCACCATCCTTCCGCAGATCTTCTTTATCTAGACAAGGAAACAACCCACGGGCAGTAGTTCCCAAAATACTGTATCAGTTTGTAAGTTTCTCCATATATATATAAAACTTCAAATTCCATAAAGAAAAAATTGGTTTAAATAACCAAAGTGCTTTTCTTTTCTGGCTCTTTACTATTTTAACATCAATGTAAAAGCCTTGCTGTATAAGTTGAAATATTATACTGAAATGCCTTTTTAATGACAATCTAACTTTATTCAACCCCAAATTATTTTTTTCCTTAAAATAATCTCTTCCACTCGTCTACCACTTGACCTTAAATATATCTGCATCAAATGCTCCAAACCCTACATTTGTCTCCGAAAAACATAAATTACTATTAAATGTCATTCTCTTTATTGTTCTCTTCTACCAAACTTCCTTTCATGGAGACCTCCATGCTATAGTGCACTTAAAGAAACAGCCCATGTGTTCAAAGCACATTTTAACTTCTGTTTATGGGAGGAAAACAAAAGTAAGGCTCATGGAGAATGTGGCAGATCATCACTTCTTCACACACAGAGGACAAGGGCCAGAAACAACCACCCTGGGAAAGAATAATATTGTATGTGTTCCTCATAGAAGCTATGCCCTTCAGCAGTTGTGTTTGAGCCGGGGCGCACATGACATCTGGACCAACTTGAAGGTAACAGAAAGGAGGCCCACCTTTTACCAATTAGCGAGCAGCAAGGCACTGAGCCTGCCTGGGAGCCAGGTCCACAATTCCTAAAAGAAAAGAAACAGACCCTTGCTTGACATGCCCCTTTGGTTGGACTCAGGTAAAAACTTAATAGGCTCATGCTCTGGGAATTTTCATAACCTAATTATTATCCAATGAGAGGAAATACCCTAAACTTGTGTCTTAACCATTAGTGGGCCTTATTTGTTCTGCATTAAGTTGGCTGTCATAAAACAACAGACCCTTTCTGGCAGCTTCTCTTACTTCTGGGCTTCCTTGGAGTCTATGCTGGTTCATTATTTCATTTAACTTATTTTAAAAAGTAAATTTCAGAGTAGCATTCGCCAGTAGAGTTTGAGCCATGATGGAAAGGCTCTATATCTGCGCTGTCCTCTAGCAACGTGTGTCTACTGAGCACTAATGCGGCTAGTGGCTATCCTACTGGATGGATGACAGCATTAGGCCTCACCTTCTCCATGACGCCATTACTGTTCGAGAGGGTAACTATTACACATGTTTACAGAAAGTGTTACAGCATTCATAATCTTTAAAGAGAATAATTCCATTTGAGAATTGAAGTGTTCCAATGCATCAACATTTATTTCACCTGATATTTAAACACAGATAAAACTGCCTCAAAGTATATTTCTCCAATAGAAAGAGAAGTTACTACTGCTACCATCACTACTTACATACTAATCAAAACTTACAGTGGAGAAAAGGGAAAGTAAAAAAATTGCACAAGCATGAATGTTTAGTTTCACCAATGAGCAATTGTAAATAAGTTTCTAGTGATGATGTTGCTGTTGCATTGCTGATAGGGACAGGAAGGAATAGAAAAGGTGGAATACAAAATGCAACTGATGTATTACCCTGTCACACTTCACAGGTTACAGCATTAGGTGCCACAGAGCAGGTGGGATTAGGTGGGATCAGTGCATCTTCACTGCTGTGCCCTTCAGCACTGAGCCTGACTCATGGAAGTGCTCAAAAGCATTTATCAATGAATGGGTAATATACTGGCACCTCCATTTCTAAGTTCTGATATAACTGATAGGAATAGATAATACAGGATTTTAAAAAAAACAACTTTGTTATATGTAAGTAACATGGAAAAATATACTTCTGGAATTTCCAGATACCTACCAGGGCTGTTGATTATGGCATGCAAGGGCCCCAGCAGCATCCCCAGCAGCAAGGCTTGTAGATGATGTAGTTTTGCCTTGGCCTCCATGTGCTGCAACCAGTAGCAACTGACAGCAATGGGCAACTTCAAAGAAGTAGGGATTGGGTCCAGGATGGTCTGTTTCACCTTTAACGTTTCTAAAAGAAGTGTCTGCCGTCTAGCTGAGGAAAGCTGAAAAAGATATAACAAATACCTTGCAAGTTACTTGGGGGAATGTGTCCCCTCCCCCGCTTAGTATGAAGAGACTTTAATGCAAATAAAATTGCTGTGTTCATTTCTTATCTTCCTGTGTAAAAAAATCAGCCAGTCACACTCAGAGCATTTAGAATGTTAGTAAGGTGCTTAGTAAGTATGGTTGACTGAATGAATGCACTGTATACTCCCATGACATCTGCCAAGGAGTCTGATTGAGCATCTTCAGTGCACGTTACTTGGGAAGCTTGTTAAAAATTCAATCCTCAGACCTACCCCCTTCATTTTGACTCAGTAAATCTGAGGGAGCCCAGGAATCTTTAACTATTCAGCTTTGAGAAACAATGATCTATACTTCACCAATCCCTTACTTGGCAGTGAATATTTAGGCCAGGGGTCCTCAAACTATGGCCCGCGGGCCACATGCAAATACAAATATTGTATTTGTTCCCGTTTTGTTTTTTTACTTTCAAAATAAGATATGTGCAGTGTACATAGGAATTTGTTCATAGTTTTTTTTTTAAACTATAGTCTGGCCCTCCAATGGTCTGAGGGACAGTGAACTGGCCCCCTGTTTAAAAAGTTTGAGGACCCCTGATTTAGGCTCTACCTTCCCCATGACACCATTACCGATCACCTTGAGAAGGACCTTTGATTATGTGCACCCTTGTGGCATATAATACAGTTTTCTATTTGTTTGGGTCCTGTCTCATGTCCCTACCCAGATGAATGTGTTTGTGCTCTCCTACATAGGGCACTTGTAGGGAAGAGGTATCTTCAAGGGAAATAGGAATATTTAAGGACCACCCGCCTTATGCGTGCAGTAACACACCACACTCACTTTTCCTTGATGTTTTAGAGTGCGCACTTCAAATAAAAGGAAGTGAACACCTATGAGGGCTTCTGGCTACTTGTTGAAATAATTTTAATTTAACGAATCTTAAGCTTAAGAATCTTAAGCTTTCACAGATGAAGAAATTAGGACTATTAAGAGGACACCCCTCAGGGAGACTTTACAATCAAACTTTAAGAGAAAAACATAGTTGCATTCCTAGTGTCTGCATGCAGCAAAGGATTTCTTTCTTAACTCTGAAAGAATGAGAGAGCCTGACGCATTTCTCAGCACCAAACACCTAATTAGTAGTCAATAAGTGTGTTGACAGCTGAGAATAAGATGGTAAACTGAAATAAAACACTTCATAATTGACAAAATAGTTTCATCATCAATGCATGATAGCATTAAATCAATGATTTATAAGTACTAGTTTTAATAATTTAATACTGTGATAAAAATTTTTAAATTAGAAATAGGTAAAGTGCTTTACAGTATAATCAACCCTCCCCTCCCCCATGGGAAGTAGCATTAACTACTTAAATTTAAAGTGAAACAAAAACTATTCTTTATAATCTCTTAAACTGGTAGAAAAACACACCAACTAAAGGCTAAGAAAATACATGAATTATTTACTGACTTAAAATGCTTAAATTACTGAATTCTCTAGCCACGTTACAACTTGTGATTAATGCAGAGTCTGAGCTTGACTTCAAAGATGATCTGTCCCTCACTAACTCTACGGCCTTGGGCAAGTTTCTGAGCTTTTCTATAGTCAGTCTGATCATCTGTAAAATGGGCATTATAATGAGTGACACAAATGTCCCATGGAACCCACCAGTCCTTAGCCCCTTCCAAAAGGGAAACCACTCTGCTCACAGCCCTTAAATCTGATTGGGTTTGATCCCATGTGACAACTCCCCTGGGGATGGACAGCACAAGCCTGCAGAGAAGCTGCCACACAGGCAGGGATGCCCAGAGAGCACTGCCTTACTCCCCAAGAATGACCCACTTCCATTTCTCCTTACGATTATCCACTGGTTGGTTAACTTGAGTGGTGCTCTGTCCACTGCAATTAACATATCCTAAATGGAAATGCTATCCCAGGTGCTTAATGTGGGAATTAGATGAGACTATAAAGTTCCCATTACAACAGTTGGCACAAAGCAGATACAGTATCATTACCACATCATGTTAAGAAAAACAGATTCTATCACAAAGTTCCTATACTTGTACCTGCATTTGTCTCTGGAATCACATTTGCACTTGATACTGTTTAGAATTATTGTGGGCTAATGAGAGCTAACATTGAGCTGAATACAGAATTGATTAGCTTATGCCAAGGGGAAGCCAAATGATATCACTGCATAGACAGGGAACTAAAATTTCACCTTACTTTGCATGCAGTTAAGTGATAAGAAGAACACTTGTCATCTGCACTTAGCAAGGCATATAATCAGCCTCCAACACTCACTGACTCAACTGGATTTTCATATGTGGGAAAAAATGTCCTGAACCCTATATCACACTATATGGAGACAAATCAATTCTAGGTAGATTGTCGATCTAAATATGAAAGGCAAAGAAAATATTTTCATGACCTTAAGTCAGAAAAGTAATAACCATAAATAATAAAAATTTAAATGAGTCTATATTAAGAAGTTCTGTTCATGAAAACATACTAAAGTTAAAAGACAATCCACAGAATGGGAAAGGCTATTCACAAAGGAATATATAATTTATATATATATATATATATATTGTAACAGAAAAATGGCCTAAAGACTTTGAACATAACCTTATATAATAGAATGTCCAAATGGCCAATGAACACATGAAAAGGTGCTCAAATAAGTCATCAGAAAAATGCAAGTTAACACCCCTAAAATTGGCTGAAATGATGCCACTACACAACAACCAAAATAGCTAAAAAAAATTTTAAAAGATAGAAAATACCAGGTATCAGCAAGGGTGTAAAGGGAGAGGAACTCTTTATAAGACCACTTGACATATATCTTACAAGCTGAACATATGTGTATCCTATAACTCAGCAATTCCACTCCTAGTTATGTATGCAATAGAAATGTATTCATATTTTCACTAAAAGACGTGCACTGAGATGTTCATAACACTATTCATAATAACCCAAACTGCAAACTACCCAAATGTCTATCAGCTATAAGGTGGAAAAACTATTTTGATATATTCCCAAGTTGTAAAAATATACAGCAATGAGAAATGAATTTTCTGCAACTACTCACAATAATAGGAATAAATCTCACAAACATCATGTTGAACACAAGAAGCCAGATGAAAGAATTCATACTGTATGATTTCATTTTTATAAAGTATAAAAACAGTCAAAACTCTTCAATGTTGTTTGAGATCAGGATAGTGATTACAGGAGGTATGGAGGGGGGTGACCAGAACCAGACACAAGGGAAAGCTTCTGAGGTGCTGATAGTCTTCCTCTGGGTGTTCTTTTTTAAAAATATATTTTATTGATTTTTTTACAGAGAGGAAGGGAGAGGGATAGAGAGTTAGAAACATCGATGAGAGAGAAACATCGATCAGCTGCCTCCTGCACACTCCCTACTGGGGATGGGCCCGCAAGATACATGCCCTTGACCGGAATCGAACCTGGGACCCTTCAGTCCACAGGCCGACGCTCTATCCATTGAGCCAAACCGGTTAGGGCACCTCTGGGTGTTCTTTACATGGAAGTGTGGTGCTGGTTTGAAAATCCATCAAGCTGTACCATTTTCTTAGCACTCTACCGTATGTGCAAACTCAGGAAGGGATTAATTGCAAAGAGGCAAGAGGAGTGATGGATACATTCATTATTTTAATTGCAGGATGGATTCACAGATATAAACATACACCAAAACTCATAAAAGTACACATTTAAACTACGGGCACTTCATTATACATCAATTATTTCTCAACAAAGCCATTCAGTGGTTCTCAACCTTCCTAATGCCGTGACCCTTTAATACAGTTCCTCATGTTGTTGTGACCCCCAACCATAAAATTATTTTCGTTGCTACTTCATAACTGTAATTTTGCTACTGTTATGAATCATAATGTAAATATCTGATATGCAGGATGTATTTTCATTGTTCGCGACCCATAGGTTGAGAACCGCTGAAACAACAACAAAAAACAACCCTCCACCATAGCACCATTTTTGTTGTTATGAGTAGAGATGTAATTTCAACAAAATATCCTTCAGAATGTTGCTAATTTCAATTTTATTGGTGTGGGTAAAATTTTAATAAATCCTTTCTGTTTGGAATTTGACCTATGTTCAAGTTTCTAGTTCTGTAACCCTGGAAATGTGGCGAAGTCGCTGTGTTACTTAGCATGATAAAAATGACTTGTAAAACTGCATCTAGACTTGAACTATAAATAAACTCTAAATGCAAGATGGGGACACCATATCATGGGGCTTCCCTGAGTACAGTGACTTGTAATTAACCATGTACCTTGCAGGGACCTCCGAAGGGATGTCTACGCAATTGTTACAAGAAAGGGTAGATCCTGTGGGGAAGAAGGGCAATGAGACCTTTTCTATTGAGATAATTAATGTCATAAAATTCACCATTTTAAAGTGGCTTTTGAATATTTATAAACTTGTACAACTATCACTAATTCTAGAACATTTCATCTACCAAAAAGGAAACCCTGTGTTCCCATTAGCAGCCATTCACCATGGCCAAGGAGGCTCTCGTACCTACCTGGTGAGAAGATCGTTTCCTCCTGCCTGAGCTGTCAATAATGGGAGGCTGTGTAGGCCAGGGGCTGGCACTATTGACATCATGGGCCGGGTAATTCTTTGTTGTAGGGGCTGTCCTGTGTATTGTAAGAAATCTGATGCAGGCTGATATGTTAGTTATGCCTATGATCAATGCCTTCAGGCACACTTTTTTTGTAGCTCAGAATTTTTTTCCTATTCCCTTTTCTTTTTTTTTGCTAGCCATGTAACCCCATTATATGGGTATCTAGTAACAACAAAGTAGTAGTAATAATTACAGAGATAACACAGACCACGGAAGTACAGTGAAATGGCATTATTTGGAGCTAAAAGATCTAGGTGTGAGTTCTGGCGCTGATATTCCCTGGCTGAGGTATTACATAGTTACGACGGTGAGCCCTGGTTTTCTCAGCTATGAAATGGGTGCAATATGGCAACCAACCTGTTTGTTACGTTACGAGAGATAATCTACATGAAAGCGCTTTATAACCTGTAAAGTGCTTTACAAAAATTAATTAGTATTACACTTACCTCAGTCAATCTGCTTAAGTCAGGATGATCCTTGGGCAGGTCTACGGCATCAACAACCGATGTTTTGATGCTTTTATTAATCCTTTCCACTTCGCTGAAAGCGAGAGACCGAGGAGGCGATGCATTCAAGGACACACTTCCCAGAGGTGCAGAAACATTCAAAAGAAGCCCATAGATGATTTGCCGGATGGGCAGAGATATTCTGTGGGCATTTGGTTGCTGCATGTTTTCCACTTGTGTGTGAAGAATGGTCCGTCTTAGCACCAAAGCATCGCTGATGAAAGGAGATAGCTGACCTTTGGCCAAAGCCACTAGGACCCATTCTGGCAAACCCAGACTCAAGGCCTCCGGACAGACGTACGTGCCACACTGGAAGAAGTCCTGCAGCTTCACCTGGGACGGCTGGTATTCTTCCATGGCACAACAGAGAAGTTCCTTCACATCTTCTCGATCCTTTTGTGGGAGATATTTCAGAACATTATCTAGAGCTTCGGGGGGGTCAGCAAAACGAGACAACCAATTCAGAAGCCCCAGAACTCGGTGGTGTCTCCTCCCCTTAGCACTGGCAGCTCCCAGAGGAAGATGTACTTTACTTAAGAACGTGTCCATGATGGGCAGGTTAATGTAGTCGTTTCCGCATAGCACCGCAAAGAGAGGTAGGAGAGCTTTATTCATATTGCTGAAGTAGTGGCAGAGTGCATCAAGAGAAAAGCATTTGGCGGGGATATAATGGCTCTGTGTGCCCTTGATAGTGTTCACGTTTCTCCACTGAAAGCTATTCAATGGGCAAAACCCAGTTTTCAGGTCAAAAATGCAAAAGTCACTATCCGACGATAACACAGGGCAATTCCAATGATTAGCCAGCGTCATAATGTCCCGGTCCGCTTCTGAAAAGCACTGGACAAAATGTACCCGCAGCTTGATCAAAACTTGTATGAACACTTCCCGGATGAGTAGGGGACACACACACCCACACCCACCAACAGAAAGGGAATGGGCCGCCTGGATCTTCTCTCGAGCTCGAGCCTTCAAAGTTGTAAGCTTTTTATCTGAAATGTCACATCCTCCATCTAATACAACATATGGACATATATTACAAGAAAACAGTGATTCGAAGAATTGTTGTACAACATCTGCAAAAGCATCATAGTCCCCTCCATACCGGAGCTCCAAGTTTGAGTTGAAGCAGAGCCGGTGGAAGAGAGCATAGCCATCAATGATCATTTTTGTGTCTCGCAACTTCAAATCAGTGAAGAACTCATTACTATGATCTTCCACAAAACTCATTAGCCCTCGGATGCCCATGATGCCTGTCTGAAGAACTTCCTGTTTAAGACAATAGAACACACTTTCAACTGATGCTGGTTACAGGGGACCATGCCATTGTTTCCAGCACCAGCAAATCAACAACAAATGATACAGAGAACTCTTTAAATCCAACATATTCGGTGTCAGCATCTCAATTCTCATCTAGATCCTCAGGCGAGACCAACTAGCTGAGTGCTTTTTCAATCTTTTATTTTGCTTTCCCCTTGTGTTACAAGGCACAGAGTCCACAGTTTCGTGGTGTTTGATCTTTGGATACAAGTGCTGGTGATTCTAAGGAAAAAGCAATTAAAGTCCACTACTGCCACACTATATAGAACTGTGGACTCTGATATTGAGATAGGAAATAGTTGTCATCTTACAACACAGAATATCTGTTTTGTGGGGTCAACGTAAAAAGTCATAAGCCATAAAAATTATATACATCTCAATCTCATAATCAATAAATCAGAAAGCTTTGGGATTCAGTTAATTAAAGTGTGTAGGTTCAATGATATGAATCTTTTCTTGAAAACCAGAGTCTGGAAACTTCTTTCAGGCATTGGCTCAAGGAATCTAACTGTCCAGCTTTACCCTGACCAGGGGCTCTTCTCATCTTCGTCTTTGCATGTCTGGCCCAGTTACCAACAATATCCTTCAGTATCTGGCTAACTTAAGTCACAGAGTCAGCTTTCCCTTTGGCGTCCGGTTCCAAAACAGCTCAGCATGGTACTGTTAGAAAATCGTGAGATTTATTGTCAAACATGGAAATTTTTTTGCATTAATTTTTATTTTTAAAAATATGGCATTAAGGCTGGCCAGTGTTGCTCAGTGGTTGGAGCGTCGGCATGCACACCAAAGGATCATAGGTTCGATTCCAGGGCAAGGACACCTACCTGGGTTGCAGGTTGGATCCCTAGCCCTGGTCAGGGCGTGTGCAGGAGACAACCAGCCTAAGTGTCTTTCTGATATGGATGTTTCTTTCTCTCTCCCCCTCCCTCCCTCTCTTCCACTTAAAAAAAATCAATGGAAAAAATATCCTCTCGTGAGGAGTAACAAAAAAATAAAATATTGTATTAAAATTTCTCTTGATGACCGAGTTTGGGGCATCCCCTTGCATTCTGCATCTGACTCGCTTCACCTGTGTACTACTTATTCCTTTAGAAGTCTGTCTTGTAAAGCTCATGCCAGCAGAGACCCCTGTCAAGTCATCCTAAGCTAATGACGGGACCGTGCACAGGTGTCCAACAAATGCGCGCCGGACAGGAGACAGCGCACAAGTGGTTTGATCGAAGTCCCCAAACAGGCCTTCCCACACCGCGCCACCCAGGTGCTCACGCCCCGCCAGCGGGACCCACAGCAGAGCCCACCTGCTACGTCCCCC